GTTTTCCTGTGTGAAAATAATATGCAATTTTTAGTTGTTAAATTTCATTGCTTCTATGTCATCTCATCTCCAAATCTAGTTGCATATAAGAGTTTTATTCTAGTTAAAATCTCAAAAATTACTTATGAACCAATTATAAACTAAGATACACAAAATAATAATTGACCGAAGATAAAATCTACATTGTTTGGACTTGTCGATTGCTCAAAAATATGAGAAGTAATAACCTTAGAACGACATAAGAGAAATAAACAATATTAGCGTTAGTCACTTTGAAATTTCATAATTTCATCAAACGCTCATATATTTCAGATGATGCAACCATTTTGTCGTCCACAAGTGATAACACATTTAATACTTGAACTAATTTTAATTTTTTTTAATCAATTCGCAAAATTTTGTAAAATTAATTATTGTGATTACCGCATTCACTCAATAACTAAAAATTAGTTCTCGTGATTACCACATGAAAACGAGTGTGTCAACTTTTTACAGCAACTGTTATCCGCAAAACATTTATCTTTTCAACCCTACGAGATCTTCTTCTTAACGCAACAAATTTTATGAAACTTCCAAATACTCAATAGACAGCTTTACCTGAAATGCCATAAACGGATCTTTCGAGTATTCCAAGATATACATGAACGGTACATTAGTTGAAGAAATGCTAACATTTAATACTATTTCCGTTGAGTCTTCTTCAACCTCTTTACATAACATGATTTTTAGTTGTGGCCATGATAACTATGGTAAACCATTACAAGAAAATAGTTTCCTTGGTTTAGGATATGGCGAATTCTCGTTGGTTAACCATTTTACCTCATAATTTGCATATTGTTTACGCAATTTTGACAGTTTATCTTACCTTTAAAATGTCATAGTTATAGGAGATATTGGTGCCAATATTTTGGGAGATACAACGTCGTTAGATATCAAAAATTGTTTATACCATATTAGAATGGAACTCCCAATTAACCAGTGGGTATTTCAACGTGATTACCACATTCATTCAAGAAGCACAATCATCGATATGGACACCCCATTAATAATACTGGTAACAGAGGCATATGAGCCATTAAGTGAGAAAATTGAAGATGTTTTTGAAGAAATACTTCAGATCGTGCATGTGCACCATGAAAAGTATAAAATGGAGTGATTCAAAAGAGATTTTGAATAAATTTTGGTCAGGATGAATTTGTGATAATTATGTTTCATTTTTTATGGAGTAGAGTTGCCTCTAGATATGATTGACTAACCTAGATTTTGTTTTTTAACGATGTCACTATATAATATTTTTAGAAATAATATGTTATTAAGCAAATTATATATTAAAAAAAAAACTAGATATATTGGAGTCCATATTACAAAAATTTACCAATTAAATGTAAAAATTACATGTAATTAGGTCAAATGACCAAAATTTACCAATAATGTTATTAATTCGTTTACATACAATTAAAAAAAAATCTAAAAGGTGTTATGTGACACCTTATTATTTAACATAGGTTCGCCATTAGATGTAGAGTGTATGTTTATGGAACTTATACCAAATCTTTTATGCATAACCGTGACCAAGAACATTGGTGATAATATTGAATATTATAGGTGCAACAGTTCAACAATGGTAATGTATGGTATGATCTCGAAGCAATATTTTATTTTATTTTAAGAGAATTGATTGTCGTGTCATCATTCGAAAAGTGA